CCGCACGGCCCCTCGCTTCCCCGGCCGGGGGATGGAGGCCTGGCGGCGTGGGCCGCAGGCCCCGGGCGCTGCTCGACGCGCTGCCCGGCGACGGGCCGCCTCTCAACCAAGGCACCTGCGAGGAGGGCAGAACGCGGGCCCACCCTGCCGCAGCCCCTAGTTCCCCTCAGAGGACCCAGCAAGAAGGCAGGTCTGGGCTCGCCCAGCAAGAGACGGGCACGCAGAGATGAATTTTCTTGGCTCCGATTCTCACTAAAGTATCGTAGTGAGAGACCACAGAAAAACGGGCGTTTTGCCAGGTGATGAAAAGACCTGCCTCCTCTGCCCACTCGGAAGTTGCTGATGAAGTTTGTAATAGTCACTGCCTAGAAAATCAGCTGCAAGTACGCGGGCTCCACTTGCCTGAGGCATACAGGATTTCTCATGCAGCACCTGTGCGACAACCGCAATGTGCTGGCAGGTACAACAGAAGAACGGGCTAGAGGTAGTTAAGAGGTCCTAGATAAGCTGCTGCACCACAGTTTACTTCCAAAGGTAGTCAGCAGGGCAGTTCCAACTTCTGATCCGCAGAGCTGGCATGGTGTAACAGCAGAGCAGCACAGACAATTACGCACCCTATTAACAGGTCTGTTTGTAATACTACCCAATTCAGCCGTTGCTTTCTGAGGACCCTTAAATTTAAGAGCTCCTGTGGCATATTTAGTAAGTGCAGAAACAGAATAAGAAAGTGCTGAGACAAATTTACAATTAACTTATTCCTTCTCAATTCTTTTACTTTACTCTGTTAATCATCATCCACAAGGATTCTTCTCATCCATATTTGTTCCTCTGCACATCCAAGTCATCTAACTCACATGCTTTTTGGCCATTTGACATCACAACAGCCTGACAGGAGGCTGTAGTTTTCTGGATTACAAGGTTTATGGTCCATTTTTGGTGTAGATAATGTGTCAAGAAACATAACAAAACACAGCCTTTGACATATTTAAATATTTATTTTGTAGAATCACTTCATGTATGAGACAGTAGTTTGATTAAAAAGCTGCATCCCGATATATCCACACAGCCTACTGTATTGTCAACACAAGAAACCTTAAAAGAAACTTGAACACATTAAACAGTTCTGTATTGCTGCCATGCAGGAGAACGTGGTCCTTTTTCAGTTTAATAAAACACCCTACCAGCTTAGAGTATGCCGCCTCTTTGGCACACCTAGTTCAGGGTGACCAGTGACTAGTGTGAAACTTCTACTACTCAGTTTTGCAGCCATCCATATGAAGTGGTGTCATTTCTGACCTGCACTTTGCCACATAATCACTAGCCAGTCCACGCTGTCTGTGATATCTTACAAGAGGCTGCTACCAGTGGAAGAGGAAGAAAAGCTCCAACAGAAGAGTTCAGAATCAGTGTTTGAAGACAAAATCTCATCAAGAGCTCATGAAGTTTCACAGCTTTCAGCTACAGGAGGTTGAAAACAAGAACCTAACAAGCGTTTAAAAAAAAAAAAAAGTATTTGTATAGATACCAGGAATCTCCAGAGCTATTAATGACAAATCATTAAACCATAGGATGCCTCAGTTCTAGTGAGCAGAAGACCTAATAAAGAGGTAGAACATATCACAACCTTCCACAAGTCCTCCTCTGTTTTCTGTAACGGGCTGTCAGTGTTACAGGTGTACCTGTTATGGAACAGCCACTGTGCTAGCTGGACTTGGATCCGATTCCCTGTGGCATTCTTACTCCCATACCTCATGGTCACCTTAGTAGACATGAAGGAAAGGAGAAATTTAACAATGAGCTGCAGGACTGCAGCAAGTGGCAGTCAGCTTGTTTGCTCCTCAGTGGAATTAACTAAAATCATCCAGAGAGGAAAATGCACCCAGGTAAATGCTGAAAAGTTTGTGTTAAAAAAATAGAGTGCAGGGAACAGTGTATTTCAGGAGGCTGGCACCTCTGCTAAGTTTCATACTTGAATTCACCGCAGGCATTTGCCTACATTATACCACTTTTCAAATGGCAGGAAGTTAAGCAACTAGCTGAAGTCCACAGTAGGGCTCAGCACAGCTGTTTAGAAATCTGAAACTTTTCCCAGGTCCACATTCTAGCCATTAACCATAATTCCAGGTTATACAATGCCATTCTATTATTCTCCCCTTAATTCAGCCTCAGACTCTAGCACTGAACCAGCAAATATTTTCTGAAGAGTTTGTGAGAGTAAACAGTGGTTTTGCAAAGTCATTTTTTATGCTGTTCTTCACGTCGGGTAGGGATTGCACATGGCCAAAGTTGGGGCTAACAGAAAAGTAAACATATGGAGCCCCATTTCTTCTGCTTTCAAAACTAAGCTTACTTTATTTAAAGAAACAGCAGCAGGTGATACTGCTACAGCATTGAATTTCTACCTTTGTGTGAGTGCGCAGCCTCCTTTTAGTGACTGCATGAACTATTTACTGAAACATTAAGAAGCAGAGTAAAAATAAACACTGATCTAGACCTTAAGGTAATGAAAAGATTATCTGAAGAAGCTGAAGTGGAGTAACCACAGTCATACAGTTAAAGGTCCTCAAATGATACCATCAAAAACTTCCTCAGGGCATTACAGCTATCTAGCATTCCTCCTCCCTCGCAGACAGCAAAAGATACAGCACAGCTTCAGAAACAGGGCATGTTTCATCAGCCAATGAGCATGCTCTAGCTCACACAACCTGCTGCGGGCAAAGCAGGAGAAGCGATTACCATCTAGTCTGGCAAATATTTCTTCAGTATCAAATATCAAGGGAATAGTCTTGGACCTGGCAGACCACCATCATAATCAACAATGACTGCAATTCAGCTGGTAAGAGAGCCAAGTCTGACAATCACCTCCATGGGAGGTACACATGGACTACAGGGGAGAATGTGCACTGTAAGCAACTCTTATCCAGTCCTGAGTAAGCTTACCCTTACACGGGGTTTTCCCATGACAAAGGCTTTCAGCTTTGTTCACCCTAGTGATTCCAGGATTACTGGTGTTTACGAACAGACCCTGTTCCGGCCCACAGGTGGAGTTTTAATATGGCAGGCCACAGAAGCTCTTAAATAATTCTGTTCCCAAGAAAGACGAGTGAAAGCTTCCCCTCTCTTGTCACCATGGGGACTACAGTCTGCTATAGCACTCCAGCTTCAAGACAATGGCCTCTAAAAGCCCCTAACAGTAGTAAGAATGCTATCATTCCAAGTACTGCATTTGCCTAGGATGTGTCCAAGCACAGATTCACGTGACATCAGATGAAAGCGTCAAGTGACTCGTACACGTATGACTGTAGTCATCATACGAAGAGCCACTGGACAAAAGAACAAGGATTCTTCTTGGAATGTCCCAGGCTGCAGCTGAACAAACCACAGCTTCTTGGTTTTGTAAGTAGAGTCTGTCTACCTCCTTTGTAGATACCTCTGGTTGTCTCCCAGAAGAAGAAAAAAAAAAACCCCAACACAACCCAAAAAAGTCCACCATAACTCCTGTCTTATGCAAACTAGGTAAGATACAGGTGTCAACGACTGGTCAAGAATTATGACATCTTCTTAGCAGGGCACCAAATAGTGTCAGGATAGAGCAGACAATGGACAGATTTAAATCTAGGAGGAAAAAAAAAAAAGAAAATATTAGATTGGAATTCTCCATACAAGGAACGTACTAGCATTGAACGTGCAGCAGTCTAATAGAGCAGAGAGGATGGGTCTACCTGCCTTTGGCACAGCGACAAGAGCCAACAAGAGAAAATAACCCCATTAGTGGGTTTGATCATCTTACAGTTGATAAACATGAACAAGGCAGGGAGATCTTGTCTTGGAAGTGGACACTCACCGGGTTGGATCTTGCTGAAGGCCAAACACTCCTCCCACACTCACAACATTGTGTTTGTTCTCAGGGTCCCCGTAACTTAGGGTTACCTATAAAAGCAAATAAATATTCAGAAATTGTAACACCAATGCAGAAAACCAGAGTGGATTATTAGTGAGGTAGGAGGAAAGACTCCAAGGATCCTGTCTGATGTGAACGGTGGATGACATTTGAAAGACAGTGGTTAGTTTTGACACAAGCAATATTGGCACTGAATGGTAGCTATCAAATGGACCACCGCTCATCTAAAGGCAACGTGGGAGAATAAACGAAGGAGCTGAAAGGTGCATTGCCCTGAAGGACAAGATGACTTACAATTGTCAGCTTTGTAAGGGCGTTAATCCTGCTAATGTCTGTACCTTCACTAAATAACATATGTTCATCCTCCCCAGACATTGCCTGAAGTCTGCAATAGTAGTGTCTTAGCACAGAAGGAAAATAGAAACATTTGGATGTTAAATGGCATGCAAAGGACTGCCGTGTGACAAACCTGGCAACAAAATTTAGATCTCTGGAATGCCAATTCAGTGCTATTCTTCCACACAAGCACTGTATTAAGAAATTTTCAGGTGCCAGGTACAAGACAACTTACATTTTCTTCCTAATTGTAGATTTCCTGGATTTTGGGTTAGCTATTACAGTCTCAGGGAAACAATGATCACCAACAAAAGGCTGTATTCGGCCTACAGTTAAATTCACTAACATGAAGGCGATTGCATCACGCTGGAATTTGGCCCCAAGTGTCCATTTCTGCTGCCTAATACAATTGCCAGGAAAATATAACCAAGCAGTTTGTAGGGGCAAAACCGCACTCTCGTTTTTTCATGGTGCCAAACAGTTAAGAAGCAGACAAAGCTTCTGGATAGCCTTATAGCTCCATCTACTGCTCGTGAGTAAAAAGGTATCCCAGCAATTAAAAAGATACTTGATTTTTCTAAGAAACACTGATTAAGTTTCTTGACATTCAAGACAAGTTATTCTTAAAAATGATCAAACATTTAACTATGTCTTAGTTATTGAAGAGGTACTTGCTATAGCTGCGACACTAGTCCTTTTGAACAGCATGAATTAAGACAGAGTTCGTTAGGCAAAGACAGAAATACTTTCTTACATGGCAGGCAAACTAAATATTGCCTCCTTCTACACTTGGTGCTTCTGTGACTCACAGAAAGTCAGAGTTTAGAAGGAGATGGGGAACACCATATTTAGGCTTAATGTAGCAGAATGTGCCCCCAAAGGAGGGGACAGCTATGTGACCTAATTGGCTAGGGTGAAAGCATGCTTTTTACCTAAATGAAGGAATTGGACAGGACACAGCTCTGAGCGTGTCTGTAGACATCCTTCTTTGCTGAAGAGTGCTAAGTCTATGGAGAGCATTCTTTCTGATCAGACTGAGGTGTAATTATAAGAACAGGACATGAGGCTTAGCCCTACCTGCTGCAGCACAGACTCGCCTTGTAGTCTCTGCAGATTTTCCAGATGGGAATGGAACAACGGGCTGTGCAGCAGCTTTACCTCCAGCAGCCCTTCGATGATGTAGCCAATAGTGCAGTCGTCAGGAAGACGTACTCTTTCTGCAGTACTGATGAAATTACCTAGGCTGTGAGACAGAGCACAGGAGATGATGAAATACGCTTTAAAGCCTACCAAATGCGTATTGATGGAGCTCAGCTAGGAACAGTGTTTACCTGGCCCAGGGACTCATCTTCAGGGCAAGACCTCTGCTGATACAGAACCCTGCTCCACCTGTGGCAAACCAGAATTTCACGGTTGTCTTCTGAAGAGCAACAAGAAAAACACACGGTAGTTACGGATAATTGGCTTTTTCCATTTGGCTGGGCAGGGAAGGGAACTTGAGGTTCTACAGGATATCACACACTGCACTTGAGTCGGAAGAAGACTACAGATTAATTCCTGTTTCTTTAGGCTGCTGAAAGCCCAGCTAGCTGTTCTCTCAAAGGAAACTCTATCCTGGAACTGACAGCAGGTGAACCATCAAGTTAGGACAACTGAGGTAGCACACATGAAATGGGAAACTATAGTCCCGCTCCCACCCAGTTCCATCTGTCCCCTGGTCATTCTAGCCAAGGGTCACAGCCAGCTCAGTGTTCCTGAGGAAATCAAAGGTGGCCCATTAGTCACTTGGCTCCATGTCCGAGGAGACCATTTTGTTGTGCGGAGTTTTCCCTAACGAGCTGCTTTGTAACAGACTTTCTGGCCAGTGGACTGATTTATCTTTAGGCCTGTCAGTATAGGTGAGCTGGTGAGGACTTGTCCTTTAGCCCACGTATCCTGTGACTGAAATATGTTTGCTTCCACTTCTTGGAAACCTAGTAACCACTCAGTATTGGAAATGCCTTATATACCCAAAGAGCCTTTGTCACACATCTGAGGTTGGTTCAAGATGATGACAATGTGATACTGCTCTCAAAACAAACAACCCAAACCCCAAAACCCTAAAAACAAGGAACACTCTCCCGAAACCACTAAAGGAAAAGAAAGAGTTAAGGTGGGGAGGCCCTACTCACCTCAGTGTGAGGGAGATCACTGACATATGTGAGTAAAGGAAGAGAAACAGACATCCACCCAGGAGACAAACTCTATTTTACATATGCATATGAGGTCAGATCAAAGGTTCATTTAACCCAGCACCCTGTCTCTGAAAGTGACCAGTGCCAGGTTCACTGCTTGCAGATTAAATCACTTGTTTTTATGGGGGGAATCCTATGAACTCTCGAGGTTTTAAAAGCTTAGAAGGTCAGGATGTCTCTCAGACTGACTGCAAAGTTCGCTTACTGATCCATCACTTTGGACATGGTCAGCTGCTTCAATGGGATGGTCCAGGCTCGGTCGCCCCACGTAGACATCCTGGCTGTGTGAGAAGGCAGATAAGAGACGCAGGAGAGTCCGAGGGTTCACATAGTTGTCATCGTCCACGTGACAAAACCATCTTCAAACAAAATGAAGTAAGAAAGTTACTGCAGAGCAGTGACAAAGAAATGACTTACAGGTTTACAGCTGGGTCTTAGTCTTTCGGGCCTGGAGCAGAAAGCATTCCCCATTGTCCTGAATTACAGAATTTGGAAGCTGAAAGCACCCACAGATCCTAATTTTGGAAAGAGGCTGAAATTAATAACCCCCTTTAGATTATCACCCTTTCCACCTTTTAGATGATGCTTGTTTATAAACACTGCTTCATGCTGTGCTCCCTTCCCTACGCGCATCACCACGTTTTAGCTAACGCTGCATTCCTTACTGGAGCAGAGGAGGTTACTCAAGTTTCCTGTGAACACAGAACTGGAAGAAACAAAGTCAATCAGAACAACGTGTTTCACCTACTTTTGCCCGGATTCCAGGAATTTATCATATTCCACAGACATCTTGCAGCAGAGAGCTTGCCGGGTATGGACAGCAGAACAGTTGGTGTTGATCATATGATCCCCTAGAAAAATAAAGATCAGCCCTTTCAGGTTTGAGAAGCATGTGTAGTCCAAAAAGACTACAAAAGAAGTGCACATCTGGCACTAATACCGTACATCTGAAGTGCATGTGGTGCACACATGGAGAGTAAACTGCAGGACAGCAGGGCTCGTGGGTTGGGCATACGCACACTCTACAGCGCACAAGCTGTAGAGTACGTGAAAATGTGTGAGTGCAGGGTAAATAAATAGTGCCATGAGACCGTATGCAAAGGAAATACCTAATATCACTTTGGACCAGGCTTAAGCTTACTAACAGGAAGGAAGTGGGTGCAAAGCTGAACCCAGTATTCAGGAATTTCCAGGCATCTTGTCCAGGTGGTAAGTAGGAACAGCAAGTTCTCCTGTGAAAGGAGAAGTTTTCTCCATTTTCTCCATCTTAACTTCCCTAATTGCTTGTACAGCATGAAATAAGGACTTCTAGGGAAAGTACGACAGAAACAAAACTCAGACAGCACGCACCTACGCTACGCAGCTTACCTGCTTTCAGGCGTAGCTCCCGATCCTCCCAGTCTGTGAATATAAACGTCTGTGGGAGACAAAAATGGGTTGGGAGAAAGGCGCGTCCACATTTGAGAATTTCAGAAACTAATTGCAACTTTGCTCAGTTGCAGTCAGAATTCTGAATGTTTTGTCTTGTTAGTTTATTTCACGGTAGCCGCTGGGAGCGGGGTGGGGAGTGGTGGTGGAGGGAACCCCAGCAACTTCAGCCCTTGCCTTATTTGATAAGTTTTTGCATTGCAAACCAGAAGAGTCTCATTTCAGTAAAGCATCCAAGATTTTACTCTCCTCATCTCAGGGTACAGACAACCAATTTCCAGATAGGAACGACTGTCTTTTTTGGTAGTACCTCCCTCTGCAACTTCACCTCCTCTCTCTGGCTAGGAGTCATCCACAGCCGTTAAGCAAGCTAAAAGGAAAGAATGAGAGTCAGGGTGGAAAGTGCCAGGTGGTAACGCTGTCTTGTCCCAACTGCTGGACAAAATTGCTTTAATATGCTTGAATGTACCGAAATTCCCAAACGAGGGAACAAAATTCTACGTTGTTCTATGGAAAAACCTAAGTCGCTGAACTGCTTAGTCCAAAGTACCGGCTTAGAGGCATCAGCGCTAGGGATCTTTCACTAGCACGTAGTGTTTTCCCCAGCCATACAAAAGTCGGCAAACCATTTCTGCTTGGACCACCGATCCCAGATTGCAAGCAACTAGCTTAATGGACAACGACCTCTTTTGGAGGCAGGTTCAGACGAGCTATTTAGGTAAGACGACCCTCCTCGGTCTGACAAGGAAAGATGTTTTTAACACACGCAAGGAGAAACTCGGTGAGGAAGCGCAGCGGCTGCCCGGGAAACCAGAGGGCCCGGGGCTCCCGGCCGCCCGCCCCAGCCCGCCGGCGAAGCCTCACCTGTCCCCTCGCCTGGGAGATCCAGGTTTGGAGGAGCAAGTCCAGCCGGCTCCTGTGGTACTTCCTCGTGGTCTTCACCGCAATGAAGATGTCCTTCAGCTCCAGGCTCTCCCTGGCCGCCGCCCCGGCAGGCCC